TTTATTTTCTTCAAAAAAATTGCGTTGTTTATCTTCCCATCACCTCTTATTCCAAGGACCACCTCCTCCAGCTTCAGCTGGCTCCTGCAACTGTGGCAGCAATGGAGACAATGCTCTCCAGGTTTGAGAGGTGGCAGGAACAACGGTTTGCTGGGTTTGAGAGGCAACAGGAAAAACAACTCAAGATCATTTTCAACCAACTTCAACTCCTCACTCAGGATTTGGGATCCATCAGACAAGGTCTCCAATGAGATCCCTTATCCTTTACATATTAAATCCGCATTTAGCCACATCTTTCTTAAAGAGTCAATACTCTCATTCCTTGTTTTTCTTACTCTCCCAGTAACCAGAGAGGCAGCCCTTCAAGCATTTCATCCCTCTCTAAGCTCTATTCCCTCAAAGAGTAGTTTCACAGCGGTACTTAGTACCTATTTTTGTAAAAAAAATGAACAGTTACCCGAGTACAAACAAATGATCTCTAGATCAGATATTGCCTGGCCAGTGTGAGGTGAGGCAAGTGGTTTGAATCCAACGATCTGCTTGATAGGTTTCTAGTTATTAGGGGTATTCAGAGATGAGTGCAAATGCCTTGCATGAAGTCTTGAAAGTGAATCTGCACAAATAAGTGCACATTTTTAGTTGCCACTATTCATTGCATGGTTATGCGTGACCAGTAGAAATCCATTTTGGAAATTCATCATGCATGGTATTTGGTTCAAAGTGACTTGCAAACATTTTTGCAAGTCACTGGCTGTTGGAATGTCTGTCAAACCTGGATCCACAGCCACTGCTTCTCATGCCACTGACAAAGAGGGATCAGGGGTTCCTCAGGGCTAAGACCTGACTCTGTTGTATTGGCCTCTCTCACTTGTCCTCTCCACTCTTGTTTCTGATTCTCTTTCCTTCTTCTCTTGTGATCCTGAGAATCTGTTCTTACACCTTTCTGTCTGTTCTAGTCTTGTTTTTGTTTCTTAGAAATTTCATCAAAAAAATCTTTACGATTAACAGTTGAATTCAGTAAAACAAACTACTCAACCACTCACCAAAAAACCAGATACTAATTGTTGTTGAGATGGATACAACCAATCCAACCATTGAGGCAATTCTGGTACTTACTGTAGACAACTTGTCCAGGTGGAAAACCCAAATCACCGCTTTCTTCAAACTTGGCACTGTGAAAGAAAATATTCTCAAGGGTGAACCATTACTAGAAGAGATGGATAACACTATCCTCTGTGCACTTTTACTCACAAAGTATTGTGGACCACCCACAGCAATGGTTAACTTGACCAACAAGAACAATGCTCTCCTGATTTGGAAGAGTATTATGAAACACTTCATGCCCTCTGAACTTTCCAATCAAGCTCAGGTCTGCAACCAACTTCCCAATATCACCTTTGACTGGAGCAACATTGAAAAGTTCATCACTGAAGTCAGAGCCAGTCTCATCAAGATGGAAGATGTTGGAGTTGTCTTGCCTAATGATATTCTTACCTATGAACCACTCTGTTGACTTCCCAGCAGCTTTGACAACATCAAGCAAAGCATCACCCACTCAAAGAATGGAAAGAATATCAAACCCAAGACTCTCATCAATCATCTCAAGATCCACCTGAATGAGCAGAAGGTGGCCAATGCCAGCACTAGTGTCAGAGGGGTACCACAATGTTTACCAAGGACAATCTCTGATGCAAACCAGGAGCACACCATACCTTTGCCACTTTTTATCCCAGCAAGAATTAAGGCCCTGTTTGGCAGCATAATAAATTTAGGTGTAATATTTCCTGATTAATTCAATAAAAAATAAAACAATGCAAAATATATAGCAAAATGTCACTCAGGCAAGTTCAGTTACTGGTTTCATCAATGCTGAGAATAAATTTGATATCTTAGGCCATCTTGAGCCCCATAATATAGATATTACCCTTTATATGGGTAAAAAGCGTAATATTGGTATTATGGTGCTGAAAGTAGCCCATTATCTCAAATTTTGTTGTACTAACATTGAAATCAGTAGTTGACCTTTCCCTGCTAAAATTGTTATTACGTATTTCTGAGTGGCTATTTTCTATTGAATTTATAAGGCAATATTGCACTTGAATTTATGATGCTGCCAAACAGGGCCTAATTGCTGGTTAGTTTATCCTGAGAAACGTATCAAGCATTACAACAGGAAGAACAAGGAGAACAATATTAGAAGTTTTTCCTTGTTTTGACTCAATCATCCCAACTCCTTTATCCTCCATTCTGGCTCCCCTTCTCATATGGTCTCTGATAAAAATAAAACCATGTTCATTGCTTTAGACAAAACCAAAAAAGGAATGATTCACACAAGTTGCAGCAATGCTTTAGACAAAACCAAAAAAGGAATGATTCACACAAGTTGCACCTCTCAATCAAAGGAAAAGGGTCAATCTCCTTAACATATGGGAAAAAAACCATTAGTCTTCTCCAAGGTTTTCTATGCTCCTAAGCTAGCTGTCAATCTTCTTGTGCTTTGTCAATTACTCCTCAAGCAATTTCAAGTAAAATTCTCCATGAATCACTTCTCTGTTTATAAAAATAAGCAAGCATATCTTGAAGGCCACTATCATGATAATCTGCCAATACTCAAACTTGGGACCTAGTGTGCAAAACCTTAGAATCAGAGATTGCACAATCTTTTTTTAAATGAACTAAATGGGGTCCTATATACTTCTGGGAGGGCACTGTACAAGCTTCTTTCCATTGATTGGCTTGAACAAGGTGCAAGGCCTTTTTTCAAAGAGGGCCAAGTTCTAGCTTTTGCAGATCTATTTGAGTGACCATGCACCACGACAAGAGTTGTGTTCCATTGTGTGAAGTGAATCCTGCTACCTTGTGAGTTGCTACAATGTCACCAACAAGAGGAAGGATTTGAATAAAAACCTTATGGCCTTGTGGATATTGGTATGTAGGTAAAATTAATCCATTTTTGGCTTTCAAAAGGTCATTGACTAGAGGCTGTAAGATGTGGCTGATTGTGACCATGTCCGGTTTGCTAGGACCGGGTGTCATACCAGCAATATACCAGTTAGAAAGTTTGCTTTGATAGTTTGGAGAAGAATTCAGACAGCTCATAGCAATAATACCCATTCAGTGCTTTTTACAGGCTTTTTTGTTTCCGTACGGGTTGAAACAGTCAATGAAAGGGGAGAACACAAGGTGAATTGCTTTAGTTTGGAATTTTGATAAATCCTTCCATGCTGGACTTTGTTTTGAATATAATGAAATCTTGTAGAATTTTGCACAGAATGGGCCCACTCCTCAATTTCCTTCTCCGTTTCAGAGTGTGTGAGGAGCCATTCCAAGCATTCTTCAAATAGCTGTCTATAGTAGAAGCTTTTGGGAAATATGACATGTCTTGGGTTGATTTGCTTAGTTGTTCTAGGTGCTATTCCTTTTGAAGCTGACACTGGCCTTGAAGAGTGGTTTGTTGCATATTTTATCTCCAGAGGATTCTTGGTAGGTGCCGTTGTCTGGTATTTGGTTTGCAACCGAGGTAAAGATGGTAACATTTGGGGAAGCAGACGTGTTTCACAATTACTGGTGAGAGGTTGAGATGTTTGATAATGGTTTGTGTGTCTTTTTTTGATTTTATTACAGAAAGCTGTTCTGATGGAGTTTTAAGAGCCAGGTTGAGCAGCTTCCAGATTATCCGCTGGGCTGTTTGACAGTTCTCCAAACTCAAGCCACAGAATAGATGTAACCATTTAATAAAAGAAGAAAAAATACCTGCCCATATTGCAAGGGATAAATCCAAAACTTAATACATTTATCGTGCTATAGGGAGGAAAGGACAGTCTCCTTACTAATCATTTGAGCACCTTGGGTTCCAGAAAACCCAGGTGTACTTTGATCCAACTTGGAAGATTGTGAATTAATTTCACATTCTTCTCCCGTAGAAATTGAGGCAAGTGGTTGATTTGTAGGCTGCTCATTTGAGATGGATAGCTGTTGGAAATTGTCCAGAGGGCTAGGTTCTTGACTGTTTTGTTGCGCCTTTAAATGTGCTTGCCGGGTTTGTTTGGCAACATACTTTCCTTCGGGCAGTTCGGCAAGGCACTTGTAACAACCACAGAGTTCCATGTTGGTGGTCATTTGACAGAAATGATTGCGGTCTGATGGGAGAAGTTGATGCAGAATGGATGCTAAGTTTCTGTTTATTGTGGATCTGAATGGTCCTTAGTTTGAACCACTATGTTTGTCCTCCCTCTTGCTCAATAGCCTGGAGAGCACATCATGAATATTCTCTCCAAGAGTCCCAAACAAGATCATGATCCAAGTCACCAAAAAAAATGTCATGAAACACAGATAGATGAGCCTTATTGATTTTGAGCAGTCAACAGGCTGCTGAGATTCAAGCATGAGGAGGGTCAGGATTTAAGGTACACTTCCTTGAGAAGCACAGAAAACCACAGAAGGACTTCATTTCTTCTGTCACAAGTATGTTTGTGCAACGTTTTAAAGACAAAACTTGTTTCATTGTTGGTGTGTACACTCAGAGGACATCCCTTGCCAACGGCTATCTGGGAATTAAACTGGCCGCTCTTGGCCCGTTATTTGAACAGGACTGCCCAGACAACAACTCCCTCAATGGCTGGCTAGTCTTTGATTGCCGACAAAGCTTTTCTACCATTGCTGGCTTTTACAACTCTCAGACAAAACTCAACAATATCAATTTCCCATGGCTGGATCAATACTGTGGAGAGAGCATGATCAGTGTCCTGCCCCATTGGGCTGGTCTGTGAGTAAAAACCAAAGCTGCTATTGCCAACTTTGAGTACATCATAATTGATCTACTGGGTGGTGATTGTGCTTTCAGGGCATATTTTGTTGAGAAACATCATCACCCTAACTCGTCAACAATTTGCACTTGCCTTTTAAAGCTTTCCCAGTTACAGTACCTATCTATAATTTGTCAGGAGAGCCAAGAATGAGATGCTTTCCCATTTGAGTACATAGTTAGCTTTCTTTTGTGTGAGTGACACTCTAAGCCTCATACCCACAGACTGCCAGCCATCCCCCCCCCCCCCCCCCCGCCTACCAGTGACAAATCATGGATCTTGTCAATGGATGTTGAATTCCTTTCTTTTTTTCCCAACTATTGAATATGCAAATATCAAACCTGCACCTGAAAGTCACAAGGTACATGCAAATACGTCAAAGCAATTACTCCTGTTATTGTTATACTGCCTATCTCAATCCCTTTGTTCCACAAAACAATCTTGTTCAAGAAAATCAACTTGTGATCAGAACTTGAAGACACATCCCTCACAAATTACAATCAGAATCAAACCTTCCTCAAAAATATTGAATCTTCTTTCAACTCATGCTTGAATATGACCTTGAAAATCATGTGGCTCTTTCTTGGAAGCGAATTCTAGCTTGTTCACATCAGCAACCAGATCCCGTTTTTTTGTCAATTTGTTTCCATCCGTTTGCGCTATCTATACTGTTCTGTCCTGTCTTCCCTGGCAAATCATGCCAAACACAATACTCACAAAATAGCAACTCCAAAGACGAAATTGGACAGATTTCCAACAGACTTTCAACCACAATGGCCACAGCACCTGACATTTTTGAATCCATCTCTCACTTGAGCAATCCAACCGATCTTGAAATCTGAAATATGGGAGCTTACATTTGTGATTCAATATTCCAGTAATCTTGAAGAAAAAGATGTCATGGCCAAGGAGCTATGGGAATTAGGGGAAATGATGGGACAACTGAAGGACAAGGTTATTGACTTGAGTGGGAAAGCAATCAATTCATTTTCTTCAATTGCACATGAAGTGAGTTGACTTATCTTGGTTGCACTCACTCCAGAGGCTGTCTGTATGCTAACTTTTTGTTTGAAAATTTTCACGTGTTGGAAAAGTAAATTGGTTTATAACAGGCAAACTTCCTATTCATTCAATATAGTTCAAAAAAATCTTCAGCTAGCATTCTCCAACTTTGATTGGGAGCTGAAAAAATTGATTGATTCAATGCCTCTTGCATCCCGAGCGGCAAGTCTCTGAGAGAATCCACAAAGTGCATTACAAACTCCAACTATTTCTAGATGACCAGCTGCTATGGAGGAAATTGATTGATCAGACAAAACGGAGTGGAAAGAAACTGAAGAGGGACCTTAATCTAACGGCACAAAGTATCCAAACAGCAAGGGCTCTACAAACCGACCTGGAGGAGATTCAAAGTGATTTGGTATTTTATCATAATCATGTCTCATATTTCAAAGTTAGTAATTTTCATTCAAATGATGTCACAGAATCAGACTAATGTTTTTTCTTGGAAATGCTGAAATTTTAGGCTGGCATCTGGCTGATCACAGTCTCACTGCTGAAGATGAACTTGAATTCATGAAATCCACCATCAATCAACTTTGGCACACAATTTCCATGGCCAAGAGAAATTCTGAAGAGAAGGATATGCAAGTTCCATCTGTTGATTTGTAAAAGATATCCAAATGCCTTCCGTTGAGTTGTAACATATTTAAATAAATACATAGTTACTTTTGCTGTCATGACCACTCTTTTCAGACTTGGGATCCCTACAACCCAATCAAGCAGTGATGTAGGGTGTTATGTATGAGATCAAAGTGACCAAGAACAAAGCTGATGATTGTTGGGCCGGACAGGCTGATCTGGTGGGACTAGACAAGCTATCCACTTCATCTTAGAAACTGGCCAGAGTTGTCCAAAAAAGGCAAAGCAAGTCAAGAAGGCCCCCAAGGCAGGTGAGGCCCGCAGTCTTCAAAGCTGCTGCCAGAATGGACCAAGTCTGGGTAAAGATGATAATGAGGAGAACCCTGGAGGGCCCTATGGGAGGAAGGCAAGCTGGCCTTTTCAATGGTAGAGAGGCTGATGCTACCAACACCAGCCATTGTTACAATCTATCCTCACTAGTGTCTTATCCTATGACCGGCCAGAACAATGGGTCATGGGTGTGTTATACTGTGTAAACATGTATGTATCCCCCTTGGAAGGGGGAACACAGGCAAGTACAGCATTATTTGGGCTGTTTCAGCACTTGTATGGGCAATTTGGGGCTTTGATTCATTCAAAAAAAGGTTTTCATTTTTTGATTTTTCTGACTTGTTTGGCATGCCAGTGCCTCCATACACCCACAGATACTCAGAGTTCATCAGGTTTCTCTTATGTCTTATTTCCGGACTGAGTCCTGACCATGAAAAGAGAGCAATATCATTATGAAGCACACCATCTGAATTCATTTTGAGATTTGACTCCCAGGTGTCTTTCTGGTTCATTCCTCCAGTTGAGAGCACCACCTCACAACAGAGTGGGTCTTACATAGTCCAAGGTGATTTGTACAGGAAAGATGGCACAGGCAACGCAGCCTCCTGTTGATTCAGAAGATCGGAGATCCTCCCCTTTGAAATCAGCTGATCAGACACGTGTCCACTTGAAGCCTTACAACAATCACCACCACTTTGTTGAAGGTAACATTTGATATCTGATCACAACAACACCAACCCAGCCGGATCGGAACCAAGAACAGCCTCCCAGTTGTTGTCCGCTTACCATCCTCCCCCAACCTCAGAGCCTAATAGTAAGCCAACCATCAACAACAGCAAGCCCAAAAAAACTCGTGGTTGTCTCATCCTCAACAATCCGCCCAATCCTTAGCCTGAAGTAATGTCACCTGAACTCTGACTCGTTAGCTTCAACGTCGTCCAGAAGGATGACTTGGGACCTGTCAAATACCCTTCTCATCAACTCTTAAAGGACTTGTTGGGGCTTCTTATTTCCGGAAGTGGTCAGTGTTGCTCCTTTTCAATCAATCCCTTTCTTCTATTCATCAAAGCCCTTGTCCACATGTACTTACTTTCACTACAATATGTTTAACCCTCAACATCAAAAAAAAGGATCAAATGCCTACAATGATATTAAATGGATCGACAACCTCTTCAATTTCTTGAGACAATTGATTGACCACTACATGCATCCTTTGCCTGGGCTCTGGGCTCCCAATTGATCTGAAACAAGCTGGGTTGGGAGTTCTGGATCTCTGAGGTTGAGCTCAGCTTGCTTGGGCAGACCCTCTTTGACAGCTGTGATCGGCAGCCCAATCTCACCCCTCCCTCCCCATCACTTCTCGTAAGTTTTTATCCTGCCCTCTCTTTTGTGGATGACTTCATGAGAATCCAGAGCTGATCCGCAATGCATTTCTTTGGGTGTGTGTGGGTTTTTAGGCTTCACCAGGTCCATCAAGACATTGTGGCCAGTCTCCCAGCAGGCACTCACAGCCTGGGCACAATGGCTAACTGTGGGATCCACAGCTTTGTCAAGATGGACCCCAGCTTTGATCTCAACCGGCCACTCTCATCAATCAGCAGTGATTTAAAAGATGGATTAAACAATCATGTCAGACTCTTGTGTCTCCAAGGACACCCCAAATTCACCTACGATATCCTCCCCGACTCGCTTAGTGCACAAGCTAAAAACGGTTATGCTAGCTCAAACAGCCCAAGTTGAAGAACTATAAAATTAGTGATATCCATCAGGTGGTTGCTGAGAACAAGAAGCAACATTTTGCGATTGTTGGAGAAGAGGCCGACGGCATGACTATCCAATATACTTGGGCCAATCAAGGATACTCCATAAAAGAGGTTAAAAAAACATTCTTCTTCTTCTTACTTTCACCAAAAAAAAAAAACAGTTTTTTCTTCTTTGTTTCTCAAATTTGATGGCAACATTTTTTGTTCTGTCTTTGAGGGGGCAGGTTGACCCACCAGATTTGAGATCCTTAACGGACCCCTCAGAAATCCTGGTACATGGGACATATTCCAAGTTCTGGGAGAGCATTGGAGAATGAGTGACGAAATTTTACCGGAGATAAAGAGAATTTTTGGGCAACAAAAACAAGTTTTTGTTGGAGAGGCTCAAGGATCAGAAAAAGAGAGAAAGATCTAATGATTTTTTATTCACTGTTACCACTACAATCAATACCCATTTTGCCCCAACAATAAATGGCAATTTGGGTGGGGGAAAATGGATCAATTTTCTGGCACTTTTGTCCAAAATGCCACAGGAGTAGAAATTAGGCTAAACTGAGCTATTTTAGCCCAGAGATAGAAATTCATCAAGCATTCCAAAATGAATTTTTAGCTCATTTGAGAAATTTTTATTTTTTGGCTAAAATAGCTCATTTTAGCCTAATTTTTTACTCCTGAGGCATCTTGTAAAAAAAGTGCCAGAAAATTGATCTATTTTCCACCATCCAAATTGCCGTTTTTCCTTGGGGCGAAATCAGTATTGTTTGTAGTGTACAAGGGATTGCTTGGAGAAGAAGGAGTCATCAGCGGAGGACCCAGGAAAGCCCCTACCAAGCCGCCTCATGTAACACATATCTATTTCAGAAATTTTATTGAAATGTTCCTCATGAAAATCACCGGATTAGTATCAATTTTAGATTTTTTTTCTTTTTTTTTGCAAATGTTCCTCAGGAAATAAGAATCTCTTTTGCCCGCCCCACCTTGCAAAATTTGATGCTCACCCTGTGCAAGGAACCTTTTTTTCCTGTGTACATATTCAAGTAAAGTAGAGCAAGACATTGAAGCCTTTCAGCAGGTAGCAAAATGAATCTGAGTTTTTTTTCATAATTCAATTATTTTTGAAAATTTGTAAAAAAAGACTATGTGCACCTTTAGAATGATCCTAATGTGGGGTGTATCAAAATGTGCCGCCTGAAAAGTTTTAAAAAAGCACCCTCATGTAAAAGGTATCACTTTTGGGCACGGCCCAAAAAACCAGGCTCCCCTACGTATCAAAAACCCAGATATTCCTGGATTTACACGAGGCGGCTTGGTAGGGGCTTTGCAGGGTCCTATCAGCGGTGAGCGGTCTGATCAATTTAGTCTCTATTTGGAAGTGGGTGTTGGCCAGCTTGCTGACCACTATATATTGTGTTGTTTTTTTCTCCCTTCATGTTTATGTGGTTTAGGAATGCTGGCATTTTTGGAGATTGACTATTGAGATGAGCTTCTGCTTTATTTTTCATCACTGCTGATACAGAATGGCAATGAATGAGGAGGAAGTGATGACACAGATCAAGCCAAAGGTCCGTTACCTCCAAAAACCAGGATTGAAGCATATTGATGTAATTCTTGAGAACTGGAAATGGGTATTCTTGCTATGCCAAGATCATGAAGAAGAAGGAGGGCCAGGATTGGCAATAGAGTTGATCAAAGCCAGCCTAGAAATCTTTGTTGCCAGCCTATACACAGTTGACTACCTGCCTAAACCCATCATTTTCACCTTTCTCGACCACCTTAAATATTTGACTCCTATCCAAATCTATCTCAAATTCATTGTCCGCTCCTTGCATCTCCAGGACTCTAGCTTTCATGAGAAATTGATCCAGATCTATCTACTCAAGGTTAAGCACTTTCCACACTGTGGAGTCTCTCACCTTGATACATATACTGGATCACCTTGGATTGATCCTGTCTTGAACATCATTCAGACTACATTCACCTTGTCCAAACGGGCTAAAGGGTAAGCAGATATTTATGTATCATTCATTCTTCATTTTCTCTTCCCTTTCCTCCTATCATTTGAGATGAGCTAGAATAGCATACATACATACTATCTTCATCCAATTGCTCGCAGTCGTGCCCAAGTGCAGTTGAACACCCTCCATCAAGGAATTTACTACCATATCAATTCCTCTTCCAATAACATACCTTACTCATATGGAAATTGATGAATGAAATCAGTAATCAGAATAACCATCAGTGTGTTAGAAGAATTTCTTTTCTAAATCAAAGGAAGGGGCCTAATATCAGGTTTGTGCCCGCCAAGGAAGGTGTCAAGGAAGCCATACAAATGAAAAGGGAAGAGATTCTTCAGGGTGAAAAAAAGGATGAAGAAAACATACACATAAAAAAGAAATTGATCTGATGGGGACAAAGAATACAAAATGTGCAAAACATGACTGATCAACTCGTCTTCCAACTTATCCATTGATTTCTTCTTCCTTGCGCTCTTCTGCCATTTCATCATCTTCATCTTTGTTTGATTCCTCATAGAGATCCCCAGCTTCCCCCTCTTCATAGAAATACCCTTCTGAGGGTGTTGCTCTTCGGCCATTTTTTCATCAGTATGTTTGATCCAAGTGACTCATCATCATCATCATCATCATTATCCACAGCAGGCTTGTCACCTTTTGTGTCAGTGGCAAGCACCTTTTTCAAGTATTTGGAGTTGAATTGTGATTCAGATAGCTTCTCATCAGCTACTGGAGTAGGTAATAAGCTTTTATTTGCATCTTGGAGAAAGGCAGCAGCTTTGGCATTGGTGATGATTTGTTTTTGTGAGACTGAAAGTGCTTCATACCAGTCAATATCGTAGACGTAAATTGGTAGATTTTTGGGAGGTGTTGGATAAATCAATCCTTCAGGCTCTTTTGGTAAGCAAAGAACACGGCGTTCACTTTTCCTTCATCATCTTCACATCAAAGCAACGGAAAAACTTGCTTGCATTCTTTGATTGGTACGGGAGGGTTTCAATACTGTAGAAACCATGTTGAGGCAAATACTTGTCATCCAAATGAGCACCCAATTTGTCAATGATGTCAAGATAGCGTCTGGGGTAGCCGTGCTGATCTGCAAAGGTGTAGTGTGCCTTGCACAACTGAAACAATAAAAATAATCAGCAACACATCCAAAATTATTTAATACCAAAGTTGAAAATTTCAACTGACTCAGTCTCAATTCTTTTGAATAAGTTTCATTTTCTCATAAGCCACAAATTTTCCAGGGATTTTTTTTCTTGTATGAAACGCCGACACATATAATGAAAGTAGGCCTTTTCAAGGAGCTTGAAGTTGTCAACGTATGCCTTGTTGATGTTGAGTACCTTGTAGGCTGGAGTTGCACCAAGTTGACAGAAGGTATGGAGGGCAGCTAGTCGGCAAGCAATGTTGTACAAGGAGTTGGTGTCATTAACCAAATTGGGGTGCCATTGCCGCAAGCCAAGCCGAGACAATGTTTTTTGACTCCATTGAATGCAAAACTGGGAAATGTTGGCAACTTGCTTGGTAAGCTTTATTTTGCCTTCTCTCCCTGCAGCAAGTAGGAGATTGATCTGATCAAGACGAATAAGATGTGGGGATTGTTCATGGAATTGAGCTGTGTCAGCTGCTTCTTTGGATTGGAAGTGAGAGTTGAAATTGTTGAGATCTGATTGAAGTGGTGCTTCTGGGATTGCTGTTTTCTCAACAAGCCCCCAAAGAAGGCAAATATGAATATACAAAGCCTCCTGAAAGGTATTAATAAAAAAAAATCATTGACCTTTCCACTGAAAACACATACCTTGGTTGTTTTGAATTCCAGAGGGAAGTCAACAGTCAAGGCTTGATGTAGTTGGTGCCTTTTTGGTGGGTCTTCAGGGGTTGGTACCAAAGTTGGAGGATTTTTTTGAGGGGATTTGTGCTTTTTCACTGATGTTGATTGAGTCGGAAGATTTGATGGGGGCTCTGATACTGGACTTGAAGCTCAACTTGGTCCTGCCGGTGGTGCAGTTGGTGGTTTTTTCTTTGGAGTTTTCTTGTGGGCTGATGTTGAATTTTTCTGTTGCTTCATATTTTCAAGCT